GGAATGCAGCTGGGTCAGCCCCTACATCATTGTCCTGGACCCTCGCCTCCCCAGAGCCTCCACCCTCACCCGCGACGCCCTCCCTCCCCTCATCTTTCTGTCCTTCCTTAACACAGACGTGGACCCCGGCTGCACGCTGGTGCTGGTGCTGATGACTGTGGCGCCGAGCAGGACAGGAGCGGTTCCTGTGCCCTCACCCCTCGGGGCCCTCCCAGGTGCAAGGGGCTGCCACATGGCCCAGTTCAAGTCTCTGTCCCCACAAGAGCTGCAGGCCTTCAAGAGGGCCAAGGATGCCTTTGTGAGTCTCCGCCGACCCCTCCTGCAGTGGGCGACCCTCCACCCCTCCCTCTGCGCTCCCAGGCTACGTGGGCTGAAGGTGGGCCTGCCCTCCCCGCACTGGGCTGACCTCCACCCTCCCCGCGGTGGGCGATCTCCTGTCCTCCTGCGGTGGACGTGCCTCTGCGGTCCTTCTGGAAGTCAACCTCCCGTCCTCCTGCTGTTGGCCATCCTCCAGTCTCCCTGGGGTCTTCCCTCCATCCCTCCCGCTGTGGGCTGACCTTGCCCTTGCTCTCCAGGAAGAGTCGCTCTTGCAGAAGGACTGGAACTGCAGCTCCCGCCTCTTCCCCAGGACCCGGGACCTGAGGCAGCTGCAGGTGAGCTGGGAGAGTCAGGCCCACCTGCCCTCAGTTGGGAGAGTCAGTGCCCGCCCCACTCCGGCTCTGTAGGTGGCCCCTCACCTCCTCCTTCCCTCACATCCTTCTCTCCCTGCCCTCCCCACCCGTCCCCTGACCCCTTCCCCTCAGCCAACCACATCGGCTCTCACCTGACCCCGACTTTCACCTTCCAGTGTCCCTTCCTCTGATCCCCTCACCTGTGCCTCCTCGCCTGTTCTCTCTCACATGCAACTCTCACCTGTCTTCTGTCTCCTCCTCAGGTGTGGGAGCGCCCCGTGGCCTTGGAGGCGGAGCTGGCCCTGACACTGAACGTCCTGGAGGCCACGGCTAACTCATCCCTGGATCACATCCTGGACCAGCCCCTTCACACGCTGCAGCACATCCACTCCAAGCTCCAAGCCTGTGTGAGCGCTCGGGGCGCCCGGGCCGTGTCTGGGCTCTGGCCACCTGTACGTGCCCCTGTGTCCCAGGCCCTGCCTCACACCGTCAGCACCACCCTCCTCTGCCCACAGGTCCCAGCTCGACCCACAGCAGGCCCCAGGCCCCAGGGCCGCCTCCATCACTGGCTGCACCGGCTCCAGGAGGCCTCGAAGAAGGTGAGTGACCGGGGAGGGGAAACCGACGGCTGGGCTCAGCTGGGAGCCCAGACGTGGGAGCTACTGAGCCATCCCCCTTTGCCCCCAGGAGTCCCGGGACTGCCTCGAAGCCTCTGTCATGTTCAACCTCTTCCGCCTCCTCACCCGGGACCTGAGATGTGTTGCCAGTGGAGACCAGTGTGTCTGAACCCTGAGACCCACCTGTCTCAGCATCTTTTTAATTTTTTTAAATTTAATTAATTTATTTCTAGCTGCATTGGGTCTTTGTTGCTGTGCACGGGCTTTCTCCAGTTGTGGCAAGCATGGGGTACTCTCCATTGCGGTGTGTGGGCTTCTCATTGCGGTGGCTTCTCTTGTTGCGGATCACCAGCTCTAGGCACGTGGGCTTCAGTACTTGTGGCACGTGGGCTCAGTAGTTGTGGCTCACGGGCTCTAGGGCGCAGGCTCAGTAATTGTGGCACACGGGCTTAGTTGTTCTGCGGCATGTGGGATCTTCCTGGACCAGCGCCCTAACCCGTGTCCCCTGCATTGGCAGGTGGATTCTTAACCACTCTGCCACCAGGGAAGCCCTGTCTCAGCATCTTAGATATTATTTTTGCACAAACTACCTCCACTGGATTATTGCTTCCAGATCCCTATTTGTTTTTGAAGCCCCTAAAAGATATTTATTCTTGTACTTTTTGTAAAATGTGTGAAAATAAACAATTTGTCTATGACATTGACCTTGTTTATATGTGACTGTATAAGTGACTGCACAACAGAGTATGTGACTGTGGCCCTCTGAGTGTGCGTGTATTGCAGTGGGAAGGTGAAGTGAGAGATGAAGAGACTATGAAAGAATAAATGAATGAGGAGTGAAAGAATCACTGAGGATGTTTTCGGCCACAACAATGGAAGATTTCATTGCATCACAAGCTATCATTACATTAAGTAATAAGATGTCTAGAGGAGGCTGTCTCTGGGTCAGATCAGCGGGACCATGGCTTTATCATGGACCTATGGCCTATAACTGTTAGTATTTCTAAGGATATGTGTTAAAATTGTGTTTGTGTTACATTCACCCCAACCTCCTGTGGTTCTAAACCTGGGATGACTATTGTCAGGGTGGTGATGTGCTGGGAGAAATATCACAGAGAGAGTTGTCACCAAAAAGTCATTAAGTTCCACTGTGGGCATTGTTGTATGTAGACAGTGGTGTTGACTGCAAATAATTTTCTTGTCTGATCTGTATGTCTTTTATTTCCTTTTCTTGCCTTATTGCACTGGATAGAACTGTAGTACTATGTTGAATAAGAAGGGTGAAAGAGGGCATCTTTGCCTTCCTCCTGATCTTAGGGGGAAAACATTCAGTTTCACCATTAAGTGTAAATGTCAGCTGTAGGTTTTTTGTAGATGCTCTTTTTCAAGTTGAGGAAGCTCCTTTCCATTCCTATTTTTCTAAGAGTTTTAAAAAATCATGATTGGGGACTTCCCTGGTGGTCCAGTGGTTAAAAATCTGCCTTCCCATTCAGGGGACATGGGTTCAATCCCTGCTCAGGGAACTAAGATCCCACATGCCACAGGGCAACTAAGCCCGTGCGCCACAACTACTGAGCCCACGCGCTCTAGAGCCCGTGCGCCACAACTAGAGAGCCCGTGTGCCGCAACTACTGAGCCTGTGCACCACAACTAGAGAGCCTGTGTGCTGCAACTACTGAGCTTGTGCACTCTGGAGCCCGTGTACCACAACTAGAGAAGCCTGTGTGCTCTGGAGTCCGCGTGCCACAACTAGAGAGAAGCCTGCGCACTGCAACGAAGAGCCCGTGTACTGCAATGAAAGATCCCGCATGCCACAACTAAGACCTGACGCAGCCCAATTAAAAAAAAAAAATCATGAATGGATGTTGAAATTTGGCAAATGTTTTTTCTTCATTGATTGATATGTTCATGTGATTTTTTTTCTTTAGCCTGTCTTGGTGGACTGTATTGATTGGTTTTCAAATATTGAACCAACCAGGCTTCCCTGGTGGCGCAGTCGTTGAGAGTCTGCCTGCCGATGAAGGGGACACTGGTTTGTGCCCCGGTCCAAGAAGATCCCACATGCCACAGAGAGGCTAGGCCCGTGAGCCATGGCCGCTGAGCCTATGCATCCAGAGCCTGTGCTCCGCAACAGGAAAGGCCACAACAGTGAGAGGCCTGTGTACCGCAAAAAAAAAAAAAAAA